TTTGCACCCTCTGGCAATTTTTGGTTAGAAATATTATTGGTCAACCGGTTAAACAGGGCAGATTGATCTTTCTAGGATCCCATACTATGATTCATCTCGTCTTCCTCCTATGTTTCTTCCTCATGAACCCGTGTTCCACAGCCAAACTTTCTCCGTCGACCATACCACCGTTTTTTTTCGGCGGAACTTCGAGCTCGAATTCTTCTCACCAAGGTAATTCTTCAAAACACTACATGGGAATCAACAATAAAAGTCAACAAACTAACCGTAGTCTGGTTCGGGTTCGCCAACAGAGTAACCCCAATTTTCGACAAAAACTATGTCCACCTCACGATTGTTGACGGAAATTTAGTCCTCCCATATTTAGTCCACCGGTGTAAAAACCCCGAACAATTCCAGCGCCGTCGCCGCCGTGCTCAACGACGGGAACCTGGTTCTGAAAAATGATCGGGTTCAAACCCATCAAATTTCTATAGGAGAGTCTCGATAGCCCAGGAGACACATGGTTGCCCGGTGGGAAAATGGCTTACAACGAAATAACACAAACGAAGCAGCTTCTTACATCATGGAAACATCTGGACGATTATGCCCCATCTCTGTTCTCCCTCGAGCTCGGTCCAAATGTGAGTCAGTGCATCATAAGATTGGAACGGTCATATTTTCAGCTTAGTACCTGAAATGACGTTGAATTATATCTGCAATTTCAAGTTTCAACTACGTAATTCCGACGAGAGTTGCTTCCAATGAATCATAATACATGTAAAAAGACAAATCTGCCCCTCTTGGAACCCACTAAACCGGTTGCCAGTCATTTTTTCACCCAAAAAGTGTAAGAGGGTGCAAAGTGCCAAGGAATTTGCAATTGTAGGGTGCAAAGTGCTATTTTTTCAATTTAAGGGTGCAAAGTGCCAAACTGATGTAATTCAAGGGTGCAAAGTGCCAATTACCCAATAAAAATTAGTGACAAATATGATAATGAATTTATTTCAATTAGGCCCATGAAACTTAGTTTCTTTACATATTAGTCCCACTTATATTTTTTCCATTCCAAAGATCTCATTTCAAAATCATATTCCAAAAATATCAAATTTCATTTGGCATAAGTTTACCTCAATTTTCACTACATATTGAGTTGAATTTCCGCCACCACCGAAAAATTCAATTGACTAAATCAAGTTAACTAATTTAAGTCGACTCATTGGGGTTCTGCCGAGAGCTGCTAAAATCAAGTCAACTAATTAGAGCTACAACGGCTTGTTGCCGTGTCGTCGTTGACATATGGTTAAATCAAGTCAGTTAATCGGAGATTCGACGGTTCGCAATCGTGTCTCCATTGACAGCTGATTAAATTAAGTTAACTCATCAGAGCTCCGACGATTCACAGTCATAATGCCGCTGACGCCTAGTTAAATCAAGTCAATTAATCGGAACTTCAGCCCTCCGTTATTCTATGGAAACCCTAGAATGGTAAATGAGAATATATATATAGATATATCTCAAATAAAAAGTTGAAACCCGACCAAAAGGGTTTTATCAAGATTCAAGGTATCATCGTGTTTAGTTCTAATTATGTAAGCTAATAAGGGGATCCCTCCAATTATCACAATGTTGCATGAAAAATAATTTCAAAAGAAATAAACATTTCTTCATATTTGAACAATAAAATGAATCGCAGACAATTGTTATTAGAATATATAGTTGGAATATTGTTTGTAGATAAAAATTTACTATCGCATAATTTTTTTCTTTTCAGGTAAATTATACAATGTCAAGAATCTTGTTGGCTCATTCTGATAGAAAGAGAATATTTGGAGAGAAGAGAGAATAATATCTCTTACGTATATTAATCATATATATAGTTACATGTATGAAACCCTAACCTACTACACAAGGTAACCTAATATACAAGGTAACCTAATATACAAGGTAACTAGAATAAATAAGAATAATAATAATATACGTAATATATATAATAATATACGCTAATACACCCCCGCAGTCGAAACGGGAAAGGAGAAGACGTGGAGACTGGAGACAAACTGTTGGAACAGTTGAGTAGGGAGTCCTTTCGTGAAGATATCAGCAAACTGGTAGGCGGATGGGACGTGAAGAACTCGAACGTGTCCCAAAGAAACTTTGTCTCGGACAAAGTGTATATCGATCTC